GCCTGCTGTGGTCATCCAGCTGTACACCTTGTTATCTCAGTATAACTCTTGATTTTTTTTTATGTAGAGTTAGATTATTATTAAGCAAGGAGGAGGTAGGCAGGAAAGAGGATTTGAAGTTGCAAACAGATCTTATTGAATAGCGGAGCAGGCTCAAAGAACTTAATGGCCTACTCCTGCTCTTTGTTCATCTGTATTTAGAATTAAAAAAGGCTCCTATGCATATAGTCTTAAGTGGGAAATCTACAGTTTTGTTGCACAATTTTTATTTATATAGAATCCCTATAGTATGGAAACAGGCCATTCAGCCCAACAAGTCCACACTGAGTGTCAGACGAACAACCTACACAGATTCGCACCACCACCACCCCCCAAGTCCCTGTAACCCTGCATTTCCCATGGTTAATCCACCTAACCTACATGTCCCTGGGCACTATGGGCAATTTAGTATGGCCAATCCAGCTAACCTGCACATCTTTGGTTTGTGTCATGTGATTTTTGACCATCCTTGGACTGTGGAAGGAAACCGGAGCACCTGGCAGAAACTCTCACAGACATGGGAAGAATGTGCAAACTCCACACAGACAGTCACCCGAGACTGGAATTGAACCCAGGTCCCTGGTGCTGTGAGGGAAGCAGTGCTAACTACTGAGCTGCCATGCCGCCCAAATATTGTTATTTTGTTCCTTGTAGAGTAAGAGCAGTTTAGATTATTTTGAATTATATTATGGAAATAGAACTTTTTTTTCTAGATTTATGTAGCAAATGATTTATAAATAAGATTGCTTTGGCTGAAGCCTATGATTCTGCTGACTTTCTGGGACTGTGCCTCTTTTACCAGTTTCCAACTTTTAGTCAAATATTTCTCCATTCTGCAACTTATCTCCATTTGCAAGATGTACAGTGATTCTGTCTGCGGTTTCAAATGTTTTACTTCTGACCAATTCCAATTTAGGTCAGCCTCTACAAGTCCTGCAGGATCACCCAATGCCTCGGAGCAGAACATTTATAATCCACCAGATCTCTCCGTTTGGAATCCTTTTGGAGATGACAATTTTTCCAATTTAACAGTAGAAGACCTTTTAAATAAAGAGTTTGCTGAGCTTCGAGATGGTGAGTGTTTTGAGGACTTATGAGGTGTGCTGTGCTCACTTTTCGTAAGTAGTTCCATGTGACATTGTTCCCTGTCCTCTGCATACCACTTGGGCTAAGCATATGCAATTAATAGGGTGATTCACAAGAATAGCAGTGTATTTTGGATGTATGCAGGCATTAAACATGGGGTTGTGCACTGCAAGCTTCATTCGTACTATAACTTGTCTACACTGTGGACAAAGCTGTGGAGTTTATTCCCCTTCTTTAGAGATTTGTCTAGTTCGAAAAAGGTTTGAAATACGAGTCATTCAGAGTATGTGGGGTTTATTCTTGTTGCTGAGACAAGACTGGTTTCTGGATTAAGTTTTTTTTTCATTCGACAATCAGACCTGGAAAGTATTGCTGAAAGTGAATGTCTATACTCGATTTGGAGAAGCTAAAAATAAGTTATTGTTAAACCAGCAAATTCTAAGTTCCTAATGTAAACCTGCATATGCTCCAGTAGGTTGAGGTTCAGTTAAGTCAGCAATGTGGTGGGAACAGGCAATGGCTAATGATCACCTGAGCGAATGTTACCAATAAACTCACTGAAATATCTCACTATCCTCTTATCTTAGAGAAAAAAATCTGAAGGTAATTCCCCGTTAACTAATAGTTTTCTTTAAAACTATTCTGACAGATAAAACTGCGGAACTGGAGAAAATGCCCACTGCAAATTTGCTTCCAACATTTCCCCCCAGCATGACTCCACCCCAAACAGATTTATTTGGGGCTTCACCTTTTGTATCTGGAACAGGTTTGTATTAGGATTTGTGTAATCTATCAGCAGCTGTGGACTCCTGGTAATTTTGCTACCATGATTGATCGCAAATCAGTATTTATCTGATAGTCATTTAATACAACACTTAGCATTGTTTTGAATTTTCAGTATGCAATAAAAGTGAACCTGTTTGATAGAAAATAATTAAGGGAGTCCTCTGATCCATTGATGCAAGCAAAGTCTCTTTTTAATTTGGCTTATACTTTTAATTTAGTCACTAATATACAGCTTACCTTTTATTACTATTATGCATAAAATTCTTTCTATTACTTTCTCATTCTGTTTTTTTTCTTCCAACTACTCTCCTTTTACATTTCCTAAGAAGTTAAAATATCTATGGAAGCTTCATTTCTAGAATTTAGCACATCAGCTGCTATTTCTGATCCTTTTATGCATGTACCACTATCTGACTTCCCAGGTAAGAATGAATAAATAATGAGTCTTAGTGTTTTGATCTCTTGAGGATTATCACAGTGAATGAGGGCAGAAGAACAAGTTTCCCACAATTAATTCTTCTGATTTGAACTTTGCCTTAGTAATTTTTATTTACTTTGAAAAGTATACTTTAAGAACGTCTCTTACGCGTGATCTTGTGCAAAACTTAAAAGATGAGTGTAATTGTTGAACCAGTAAAACAGGTATGTGTGTAGGTGTATAAAATAAAAACAAAGCTCAGGAGAAACTGAACAGTTCTGACCACTTGAGTTCAAGAAAAGCCATGTTCTACTCCAAATGTTAACTGTTTCTCTCTCCAAAGTTGCTTCCAGATCTGAATTTTTCTAGTACTTTGTTTATATTTCAGATTTCCAGCAGTGTTTTGCTTTTATTTTGCTTGTTATTTTCTGGAATTAGTGTTATAGTACATAGGGAAAAGAATTGTTTACAGTTTTTCAAAATAAAAATCAAGTTATAATTAAAACCACCATAATTTTATTCCAATGCTGCCTGACCAGATTTTAAAAAGAATGCTTTGAGTGCAGTCTGCTTCTAATAGTGTGAATGCTTCAGCAAAAATGTTGAGTGGATGACCCGTTTTCACCTCTTCCAGAGATCCCAAACGTTACACCTGCCAATTCAAAAGACTATGGGACCTGACGGTATTCTGGTAATGGTACTAAAGGTTTGTGCTCCAGAGCTTGATGTATCAAGCTGCCCCAGTCCAGCTGCAACCCTGGCAATGTGAAAAATTGCCCAGGTATGCCCGGTGTGCAAAAAGCAGTGCAAATCTAAACCAGCCACTTACTGCCCCATCATTCCACTATCGGATAATCAGAAAGGTAATGGAAGATGTCATCAACAGTGCTGTCAAGCAGCACTTGCTTAGCAATAACCTGCTCACTGCTGCTGAATTTGTGTTCTGCCAGGTATCTCAACTCCTGCCTTCATTGTAGGCTTGGTTCAAATGTGGACAAGAGAACTGAACTCCCAAAGGGAAGGTGGGAGGTGAGAGTGACTGCCCTTGACATCAGTGCAGCATTTGACCAAGTTTAGCATCAAGGAGCTCTTGCAAAACTTGAGCCACTGGGAATCGGGGTGAGAGGGAACTGTCCACAGGATGAAGTCATACCCAGCATTAAGGAGGATGGTTGTGGCTATTAGAATTCAGTCATCCCAGTTCTAGGACACTACTATATGAGTTTGTAAGGGTAGTGTCCTAGCCCCAACCATCTTCTGCTTCACCAACTACTTTCCCTCTTCTATATAAGGTCAGAGATGGGCAGGTTCACTGTTGATTGTGATTGTTCGGTACCATTTACGGCTCCTCATGCTAAAGCAGTCTGTGTCCATCAGAAAGACTTCATTTTGGACTAAGCCTCTTTTTCCTTAAAAATAATTTATCCTGACATCATCCAATATTCTTTTAAACCAGTTTTTCCCAACCAATATGCACAGGTTACAAGTTTACAGAAAGATCCTGACACTAGATTCCAAAATGAAGGTCTTTTTCATTCGTGGGATGGCTGGCTGGGGAGGCATTTACTGCTCATCCACAATTGTCCTTGAGAAGGCAGTGGTGAGCTGCCTTTTTGAACCAGTGCAGCCCATTTGGTGTAAGTATACCCACAATACCGTTAGAGAGGGTGTTACAGGATTTTGACCCAACAAGAAGTAGGGAGAAGTAGATGGCACGTGGGCAGTCATGTGATAACAAATGAACATAGTCACAATGTAGGGAATGTCTTTGACTATATTTCCGAAGGTGAAATAAACATTTTTGTTTAATTTTGCTGCTGTCGGATAGTTGACCTGTTGATTTGTTTTGGAAACGGTAAGGAGAACTTCTGCCTTGTTTCTTAAGATCTAATTAGAAAGTGAGATTCACTAAAATGGAATGTATGATTAAAAATTATTCAAAATCTTTAAATAATCCATTCCATTTGTATGGTTGCATGCAAAGTAATTTGTTGGATTATGGACTGTAGGTAGAACTGCAAAATGTGGAGAAAATTTTGATGTTTGTGTATCCAAAATATCCTTTGTTTTCAAAGTGCTGTTGGTGTTTCATATGCTTGCAAATTTTTCTTCATTTCTGCTGCTGGAGTAGAATTATTTGTCGTATGCATCCAGAAATTATTATTCCCACATCAATCGTGATAGTTCATATTGGTAGACTATTTAGCTGATTAGCTGTTGCTTCTGAACCCAGTTCTTTTCCATAGATTACTATTTTCTAATAGTAAATATTTCACCCAATCAGGAATCTGAATCCTCATCAATACCCAGCTCGGGGTTTCTAGATCATATTGCAGCACCCTTACCATTAACAGATGAGTAAATGCTAGCACAGCAGTAATGGAACCCAAAGATTTTCTGTCTGCGACTGCTAATCACAAAATATACTGACATGAGCCATCAGGTCAGCTGCTGTTTCAACAAGACTGGGACCTATATGACTAGCCTTAAAATGAAATCTTCCTTTGAATGACTGGACATAGAATGTCCATTAATTTCTTCCATCGTAAATGGACTGTCATTCCCATTGTTGTTTTGAAATTATTTTTTAAAAATTGAATTAATGTGGTGATTATCAATGGAGAATGCTTGTTCTTATGTTTTGCTTTTTGTTCTAGTGCAAAATATCAAATGTACTGGAATCCACTCACTTGAGACAAATTTCACAAAAAAATAAAACTTAACAGAGGGTCACCTCAAAGAAAATTGAATTGACTAGATATGATTTTATTTATTAAGTGAATTTACACTTTGAATATTTTTAAAAAAACACTTTTTAAGGAAACACTTGCGCTGCATGTTCTATAGAATGGATTTTGCTGTATTTTTGCTCACTTTTCTGTCCTGCAACCTCTTTGAGTCATTATGTTCTTTCCTCTGCTATTCCTATTGCACCTTCTCAGGTAACTGTGCTGGGGATGACTCAGTTTCACATTCCAGCATCCTTGCTCCTGCTTCAGCTGACAGCACTGACCCTTTTACCCCTACTGTATCTTCTAAACAGACTGGTAAGATGAGATGGCAGATGATTTTATTTTTTATGAATGTTGCTTATTCTGAAACCTAGGAGACATCAATTTCCAGTTAATATGAAAAAAATACAAAAACAAAATCATAAACTTTTAAATGGTTGTAATTGGTAAGTACTGTAGAGTATTTTATTGTGAAAATTCTTTACTGGTGTAAGGTAAAACTCTGCACAATTTAACAACTTTCCATATTATTAAGAGGCTGTCGAGTGTTGTCTTTGTCAGGGAATTCACTGGCAGAATTGTGGCTCATTATAGACCCCATGTATTAAGAATAATTTTAACAAAACAATGTAAATTCATTGAAGTGTGCCATTCTCTCCGACTCTTACTACTTTCATTCCAAATTGTGTAACTCTGTTTTCCCTACTTGATCACGTCTGTCCTTTGCATTCTTTTTGCCTTTTTCAGCACATCATCTGTCAACAACTCATTCCAAATCTGATGGTGTGAGCGCAATTAGGAATATAGTTCACAAAATCCAGTTGTGCAGGATGCTTAAAAATAACCTAGTAAAGTGATATTTTTTACTTTTCTAGGTGGTCATTCAAAGAACCGCAGTGGGAGTTCAGAGAACAGTCTTCCTGGTCTAGCTAGGTCTTTTCTGCTTGTGGATCAGCTTATAGACCTTTAATGACCCTGCCATTAACCTATCTGCATATTACTTACCTGCACCCTTGAGTAGAAACCCCATTCCAAAGAAAGCATGGTAAAATCAAAATACCTCAGTTGAATGCCACGCCTACCAAGACATGATTGTAACAAGATGCAATGGAGATTCTACTAAAAACTAAATGACTATTCATCAAGGCCTTCCTTCACCTTGTACCTGCCTGTGTGCCGTTCATATGCATATACCAGAAAACTGCTTGGATATCCCATCACCTTTTAAAACCTGCCGAAATCCTCTTCCTACCTTCCTGTCTTGTGTTGTAATGTTTTTTTTAGCAGGAACTTTGGCTCAATATACCTCAGCATTTTTGTGCATTGTATGGTAAAAGTGTGCATAGCTACAATATTCTTTAGTTGCACAAAGTGATTAGTTAATTTGAAACTGCAGTACTGAATACCGTTTGTCTTTGAATTTAATTTTATAGCTTGGAACGCTGTAAACTAACAGTGCCTGGATTCTACTACTTGAAGTTGTAGTGGCATTGAGGACTGATATTAACTCGCATGCTACTTAACTACGTACTGATGTGAAAACATGCAGCTTATTTTTCACTGCTTTAATTACTTTGCCTTTGTTTGCAATGCATTAGTATGTTCTTCAGTTAATTGGTCACTTTTGCTCTCAAGTATTTTGTAAATGTACTTTTTTTTTTCCCTGCTAACATTGTTCTAACCTCATTACCTGAATGTCAATAACAGAATTTCAATTATTTGTTATTAATTTGTTATTTTGAATTTCAACTTGAATAACCTGTTTTAACTTGATGTACAGCCATACAAATGAAGTGTCATCTAGTCACGTGGGGCTAGGTAGCATTGAGTGCAATACGTTCAATGCTGCACACAAGTAATCTTCCATAACATGATTTTAAAAGTTGCTTTTTATTTGCAGTAGGTTCTTTATTTTTGACTAGAGAGTGAAACAACCTTTGTCGACGGTCTAAAAATGTTTATGTGTTACACACACATTTGTCTAACTCTATCTTTCCTACATTTTGTTCTAAACCACATGAGGATTTTGAGGTTTCATATAGATTGAATTAGTCCCCAAAATCTATTGCACAACTCTTGGGAGTAAAAGAGAAAGAAATCATTTCTATTTAATTCAGTTTAGAATTTGACTCTCAATTTAGTCGGTTAGATTTCAAACAATCATATTTTCAACGACCGTTTTTGTAGGATTATTAATCAAAGTAGCTATAATGAATACCGAAGTAGAAGCTTAGTTATTGAATGATGGCTGGTGTGTATCTTAAATAGGTGATGAGCTTTTACAAAAGGTGACTCAGGTAACTTTGCTAGATAAATGTAGATTAGATAAATGAAACAGCAGTAAAGTTACAACTTCCAGGTTAGCTGTAAATATTTCAAATAGGGTGAAGATAATGATGGAGAAGTCATCTTCCTGATGTCTTATGTCTAATATGAGGACCGTTACTAGATGTCTCAATGTGCAATGTTGACTATTTAATAAATCACTTGGTTTAACAGGGTTTTTAAGAATATAAAGCTTTGCACTATATTTTTCATTGTGATTAAATCTCAGGATAGATCCTGCTTCCCTGTTTATCAAGTAGCTATTTCTGGTGGGTGTGAGCCTAAAGTATGATGCAGTGTTTCTGCACTTGTTATTTTGAATATGTTACCACTAGGCTAGTGTTGAATGACTGCAACAAATGGATGACTAAAATGTGATTATTTAAAACACATACATGCTGCAAATAAATTTGAAAACATTTTCACATTTACATGAAATAATGCTTTTCTGGTTTATTAATTTTGTATGTCTGCACCATGCTATTAGTTTACTGCAGAAGTGTTCATTAGAGTGTCGTGCTCTGCAAGAACAAGGGGGAATCTAAGTTACGACTTTATGCTGAGAATATTGAATTAAGACATTGCAAATGCAGTCAAATTTCAGGGAGAATATCTTAGCTTTTTATATTTAAAAAAAAGTCTCTGGATATGGACATCAGTGATACCAGCATTCATTGCCAATCCCTACTTGCACTTCAGAAGTGATCCTGAGCTGCCACTTTGAACTACAGCATCTTCGGTGATGAGGGTAAGTGTTATTAAGGAGGGAGTTTCAGGATTTTAATTCAATGGTACTGAACGAATGGTGATGTATTTCCAAGTAAGAATGGTTTGTGACTTAAGGAAGCAAATTAGAGTTGATGGTCTTTTTTTCTTGCTGTTTTTGTCCATCTGGTTGGCAAGGTTGTTGGTTTAAGAAATACTTCTGGAGAAACAATTTTGTAGTATTTCATAACTTTCTGGGGCATTTATAATTACAGTGAATTATTCAACATAGTATTTCATGATTCATAAAATTCATATTAGAATCACAATTGGTATCAATTTTAAAAATGTTGTTGATATTGGACAACTTAATAAATTGGTAAGATGACTCAGGAAATCCAGTTACAGTTTTTTTTTTTAAAACTCCTGTTTGGAGACCTAGTCTTATCGTGGAAATGTGTAAATTTCTCTCTGGTAGGTTACAAAATAGCTTCAAACTTAATCTACATTGTTGCAACATCTGTCTCACATTACTTGCTTCCCCCCCATCTCCCTCTTGCGCGCGCGCGCGCACACACACACACACACACACAGCTCTAGTTTGCTGATAATGCAGCTCCTATACCTTTACCCTGTCGTCATGTTTTTTGGTTCTCATTTAGAACAGTACAGGAACAGGCCCTTCAGCGCATGATGTTGTGTTGAACATTACACCAAATTAAACTAATCCCTTCTGCATGCCCATGGCCCATATCCCTTCATTCCTTGTTTATTCGTGTGCCTATCTAAAAACCCCTTAAATGCTCGCATCATATCTGCCTCCACCACTACTCCTAGAAGCATGTTCCAGACACCTGCCAAACTTGTCCCCTATATCTCCTTTAAACTTTCCCCTCCTCAACTTAAATGCATGCCCTCTAGTATCAGACGTTTAAATTCAGGGTTGACAGTCAGAATCTTTTTCCCAATCAATGCCTGTCATAATTTTATAAACTTGTTTCAGGTCTCCACCGCTCTAGAGAAAACAACCCCAGTTTGTCCAGCCTCTCCTTATAGCTCATACCCTGTAATCCAGGCTGCATGCTGGTAAACCTCTTCTGTACTCTCTCCAAAACGGCCACATCCTTCCTGTAATGTGGTGACCAAAATTGAACGCAATACTCTTAAGTGTGGCCTCACCAAAATTTTATAAGGCTTTTTTCCTGGCTCTTGTACTCAGTGTCCTGATCAATAAAAGCAAGCATGCCATACACCACCTTTTCCACCTTGTCTACTTGTTGGCCACTTTCAGGGAGCTTTGGACTAGGACCCCAAGATTCCTGGGGTCAACATCAATGCTGTTAAGGGTTCTGCCATTAACTCTATATTTTCCCTTAATATTTGATCTTCTAAAGTTCAACAGCTCACACGTGCCTGGATTAAACTCCATCTGCCACCTCTCTGCCCATATCTGCAACTAATCTAAATCCGCTGTATCTTTGACAACCTTCTACACTACCCACAATTCCCCTGATCTTTGTGGCATCTGCAAATTTACTAACCCACCCACGTATGTTTTCATGCAAGTCATTTATATAAATCACAAGCAACAAGCACAGATCCCTGCAGAACACTACTAGTCATGGACCTCCAGCCAGAAAAACACCCTTCCACCCCTACCCTCTGACTTCTGTGGGTAAGTAAATTCTGAATCAAAACAGCCAAGTCCCTGTAGATCCCATGCATCTTGATCTTCTCGATGAGCCCACCATGAGGGACCTTGTTGAAAGCCTTACTAAAATCCATGTAAACAACATCCACTGCTCTACCGTCATCGATCACCCTCGTTGCCTCCTCAAAGAAAAATCAATCAAGTTTGTAAGACATGACCTGCCCTGCATAAAGCCATGCTGACTGTCCCTAATTAGGCCATGCTTTTCCAAATGCATATAAATTGTATCCCCAAGAAACCTCTCCAATAGCTTCCCAATCACCGATGTGAGACTCACCTGTCTATAATTTCCTAGATTATCCTTATTTCCCATCTTGAATAGAGGAACAGCATCAGCGACTTGTCAGTCCTCAGGGACCTGTCCAGTGACTAGAGAGGCCACAAAGATCTTGGTCAAGACCCCAGCAATCTCCTTCTTGCCTCTCAATAACCTGGGGGAGATCCCATCTGGCACTGAGGACTTATCCACCTTAATGCTTTTCAAGAGACCCAACACCACTTCTTTCTTGACCTCAAAATGCCATAGCATATTAGCATGTCCCGCACTATCCTCTATGTCCCTCTTGGTGAATACCAATGCAAAGTACTCATTTAGGATCTTGCCCATTGCCTCTGCCTACAAGCAGAATGTCTCTGCATTATCCTTGGCTGGGCCTACATTCTCCCTTGTTATTGTCTTGCTTTTAACATATGTATAAAATGCCTTGGGATTCTCTTTAACCCTACTTACCAAGGACATTTCATGGTCCCTCCTTGCTCTCCTAATTTCCTGCTTGAGTTCTTTTTTGCTTTCTTTATATTCTTCATGGACCCTGCTTTCCAAACCTGACACGTGCTTCCTTTTTCTTTTTGACTAAATTCACAACCTCCCTCATCCAAATATCGCATGCCTTGCTATCCTTACATATCAGTTCCTCAACATCCCAGTGACTGTTGGGGGTGGGGGCGCTATAATATAATCCCATTAGAGTGATTGCACCTTTCGTATTTTTGAGCTCTACCCAAATTGCCTCAGTGAATGAGCCCTCCAGTATGTCCTTTCTGATTAGTAATGCAACTCTTCCACCTCCCCCTCTATCTCATCTAAAACATCGGAACACTGACACGTTGAGCAGCCACTTGTGTCCCCCTCTCAACCAGGTCTCTGTAATGGCTACAACATCGTAATCTCATGTATTGATCTAGGCTCTAAGCCCATCTGCCTTACCCGTAATACTCCGTACAGTGAAATAAACAAACTTCAGCCCATCTGTCCCATTGTGTTCATTAACCTGTCCCTGTTTGTCTGTCCTTTCAGAATTACTGGTTATAACATCAACCTTCCCTTCAATTCCTCCACTAGCTGACCCGCCACTCTGGTTCCCAACCTCCACCACTCTAGTTTAAACCCTCCCAAATAGCACTAGCGAACCTCCCTGTGAGGATGAGAGACAACAAGGTGCAGGGCTGGATGAACACAGCAGGCCAAGCAGCATCATAGGAGCAGAGAGGCTGACGTTTCGGGCCTAGACCCTTCATCAGAAAAGGGGGCGGGGAAGGGGGTTCTGAAATAAATAGGGAGAGTGGGAGGCGGATAGAAGATGGATAGAGGAGAGGATAGGTGGAGAGGAAACAAACAGGCCGAAGAGGCGGGGATGGGGCCAGTAAAGGTGAGTGTAGGTGGGGAGTTAGGGAGGGGATTGGTCAGTCCAGGGAGGACGGACAGGTCAAGGGGGCGGGATGAGGTTAGTCGGTAGGAGATGGAGGTGCGGCTTGAGGTGGGAGGAGGGGATAGGTGGGAGGAAGAACAGGTTAGGGAGGCAGGGATGAGCTGGACTGGTTTTGGGATGCGGCAGGGGGAGGGGAGATTTTGAAACACCTCTCTTCCCTTCCTGGACCTCTCGGTCTCCATGTCGGGTAACCACCTAGAAACCGATATTCATTTCAAGCCCACTGACTCCCACAGCTACCTAGATTACTCCTCCTCCCACCCACCTTCCTGCAAAAATGCTATCCCCTATTCCTAATTCCTTCGCCTCCGCCGCATCTGCTCCCAGGATGAGGCATTCCACTCCCGTACATCTCAGTTGTCCTCGTTTTTCAAGGACCGTAACTTCCCCCCCTCAGTGGTCGAGAACGCCCTCAACCGTGTCTCCCACATCTCCCGCAACTCATCCCTCGCACCCCGTCCACGCAATAAGAACCAAAAAAGAATCCCCCCTCGTCCTCACGTACCACCCCACCAACCTCCGGACCCAACGCATCATCCTCTGACACTTCCGCCATCTGCAATCCGACCCCACCACCAAAGACATTTTT